AGTACTGGATACACCAAGAGTAGGATTCACAGATGAAACCACTCTTTAACCACTACGACACCCCTACCATTCCTTGTAACTCAAGTACAAAAGACATTGCAACAGATTAGGCAGTTCTACTGGACTACAAGGTATAGGTGAGGTGAAATTGGATTTAACTTCGCGTCCAAGATTATTGCACTTACATAGCTATGTGCATGCACATGTGTGTGTGTTAGTGTGTTTGTGTGTGTGTGTGTGTGTGTGTGTGTGTTAGTGTTAGTGTGTGTGTGTGTGTGTGTGTTAGTGTTAGTGTGTGTGTGTTGTACTAGTCTGGACTAATGCCGATTTTATAGTACTTGTCCACTGAGATACCATGCTGCAGTTTAACATGAATACCTCACTCAGACACAGAATACTGACTTCGAGCTGACCAGTCCTTGTTTTAGCCCCTTAATGTCGAGCGCCAGACAAGGTCATAACAAGCACCATCTTTTAACGTCCTTTCATATGACGCGGCCAGGGATTGAACCCTGCACCTTCTGCACTCCAAGGCGTACACTCTACCACTAGACGACGGAGGCGGTTCCTACAAGGTATAAACCGACTCACTAACACTTGAATCATCTTTATTCAATCACACAACTCAATCACATAAATAATGACAGTGTAATTATGATGTTCTATTTGGTTTATTATGTAACCATGGTAACAAAGATGGGATAATAAACAATAAACAATAAAAATATACTCTGGTGTAAAATTATGCTTGATGACGTTCACTAAATTAGGTATAAATACCAGATCCCCTGACTGAATGTAAGAATACTGAAAACAATGCTGTCCAGTTATGAAACAAAACACAAATGAAATGAAATCTAAAACCAGGAAAACTACATGTATGTACACAGTCCTGAAACATAGTACACAAATACAGTGGAATCTGTCCAATTCGGACTCAGTTGAGACTGGTAAAAAAGTCTGGTTTATGGCGAGGTCCGTACGAAATACAAAAAGTTGGACTGGAGACAAAACGAAAAACAACTATTATTCATCTTTATTTTCTGGTGCTGCTGGTACTCTTCGTTTCGTTTAAGAATAGTCTGCTAACTGATGATATACATCTCGGCCATCTCTTTCGGTTTTGGTTTTGGCACCGACTTTAATTCCTCCACTTTAATTCCTCCATTAAAGCAACTTTGTTAGCAAGTGTATAAGTTCGATACGCCTTTTCTTTGCCGGTCGCTCAGCCATTGCGATTGATAATGAGGCTGTGTTTACCGTATTTATTGACATGCTCATAACACTGAGTTAATCTAATTAAGCTGAATTCTCATTAACAGATGAGTAAATTCTAATTAATTAAGTGGACAACAAAGTGATAAGATCAGTAGGATTACACTCAAAATTGTTTTAAGTGACAATGACTGAGCTTACTTCAAAGTGACAGAACATCTGGTCCGATCTGGTCCGTTCTGATTTAGACAGATTCTTTTCAATAGTAAATTGGTTGTTGGGACCCTAAGTTTAGTCCAAAGTGTAAAAAGTCTTAATTAGAGAGCTGGAGAGTTTGAATCATGGTAATTTATTAAGGAACCGAGGGGACCGGAAAAAAAGTCTGGCTTTCACCGAAGTCCGATTTGGACTGATTCCACTGTATAGGGTTGCATACATTGCCACTATAATACTCTACTACATTTCCTTCTATTTACATGTACAGGTAAGTGCCCAGTTTGGTGTATAATGAAATATCTCAACCAACACTTGAGTGGTATAATTACTGTAATATCACAAACACAGTCTTGAGGGACAACATGAGCCTGGAGGGGTGGGGGTGCTAGTTGAGGTGTGGGGTGGAGAATCAGACAGCTGGGCAACAGTGTATCTGATGTACAGATGCTGCAGGGGGTGGGTTGTGTTTGAGATGGGGGTGGAGAATCAGACAGCTGGGCAACAGTGTATCTGATGTACAGATGCTGCAGGGGGTGGGTTGTGTTTGAGATGGGGGTGGAGAATCAGACAGCTGGGCAACAGTGTATCTGATGTACAGATGCTGCAGGGGGTGGGTTGTGTTTGAGATGGGGGTGGAGAATCAGACAGCTGGGCAACAGTGTATCTGATGTACAGATGCTGCAGGGGGTGGGTTGTGTTTGAGATGGGGGTGGAGAATCAGACAGCTGGGCAACAGTGTATCTGATGTACAGATGCTGCAGGGGGTGGGTTGTGTTTGAGATGGGGGTGGAGAATCAGACAGCTGGGCAACAGTGTATCTGATGTACAGATGCTGCAGGGGGTGGGTTGTGTTTGAGATGGGGGTGGAGAATCAGACAGCTGGGCAACAGTGTATCTGATGTACAGATGCTGCAGGGGGTGGGTCGTGTTTGAGATGGGGGTGGAGAATCAGACAGCTGGGCAACAGTGTATCTGATGTACAGATGCTGCAGGGGGTGGGTTGTGTTTGAGATGGGGGTGGAGAATCAGACAGCTGGGCAACAGTGTATCTGATGTACAGATGCTGCAGGGGGTGGGTCGTGTTTGAGATGGGGGTGGAGAATCAGACAGCTGGGCAACAGTGTATCTGATGTACAGATGCTGCAGGGGGTGGGTTGTGTTTGAGATGGGGGTGGAGAATCAGACAGCTGGGCAACAGTGTATCTGATGTACAGATGCTGCAGGGGGTGGGTCGTGTTTGAGATGGGGGTGGAGAATCAGACAGCTGGGCAACAGTGTATCTGATGTACAGATGCTGCAGGGGGTGGGTCGTGTTTGAGATGGGGGTGGAGAATCAGACAGCTGGGCAACAGTGTATCTGATGTACAGATGCTGCAGGGGGTGGGTCGTGTTTGAGATGGGGGTGGAGAATCAGACAGCTGGGCAACAGTGTATCTGATGTACAGATGCTGCAGGGGGTGGGTTGTGTTTGAGATGGGGGTGGAGAATCAGACAGCTGGGCAACAGTGTATCTGATGTACAGATGCTGCAGGGGGTGGGTCGTGTTTGAGATGGGGGTGGAGTCTCAGACAGCTGGGCAACAGTGTATCTGATGTACAGATGCTGCAGGGGGTGGGTTGTGTTTGAGATGGGGGTGGAGAATCAGACAGCTGGGCAACAGTGTATCTGATGTACAGATGCTGCAGGGGGTGGGTCGTGTTTGAGATGGGGGTGGAGAATCAGACAGCTGGGCAACAGTGTATCTGATGTACAGATGCTGCAGGGGGTGGGTCGTGTTTGAGATGGGGGTGGAGTCTCAGACAGCTGGGCAACAGTGTATCTGATGTACAGATGCTGCAGGGGGTGGGTTGTGTTTGAGATGGGGGTGGAGAATCAGACAGCTGGGCAACAGTGTATCTGATGTACAGATGCTGCAGGGGGTGGGTCGTGTTTGAGATGGGGGTGGAGAATCAGACAGCTGGGCAACAGTGTATCTGATGTACAGATGCTGCAGGGGGTGGGTTGTGTTTGAGATGGGGGTGGAGAATCAGACAGCTGGGCAACAGTGTATCTGATGTACAGATGCTGCAGGGGGTGGGTCGTGTTTGAGATGGGGGTGGAGAATCAGACAGCTGGGCAACAGTGTATCTGATGTACAGATGCTGCAGGGGGTGGGTCGTGTTTGAGATGGGGGTGGAGAATCAGACAGCTGGGCAACAGTGTATCTGATGTACAGATGCTGCAGGGGGTGGGTCGTGTTTGAGATGGGGGTGGAGAATCAGACAGCTGGGCAACAGTGTATCTGATGTACAGATGCTGCAGGGGGTGGGTCGTGTTTGAGATGGGGGTGGAGAATCAGACAGAAGCGTGGAATGTTGGACAGACCGGCGAGAAGACATCACTTTCTGCTCTCTCTCTCTATGTCTGCTCTGTATGTCTGTTCTCTATGTCGTCTGTTCTCTATGTCTACTCTCTATCACAACCCTAATCATCAAGTCTGCTGTCTTGTTCACCAAAATTGGGCAATACAAATCTTGAAACTTTGGCAATGGTGGATAATAGTTATTTATGAAATAACTATTAGAGCCTGATGACCAATCTCATTAAAATCACATCTTAGTTCTCGCTATCGCTAAACAAAGATCTGAGGACATCCCATTACGGGTCACGTCAGAACGACCTTCATCCGACCAATCAAAGCGTCGCTTACCAGATCATGAAAGTGACAGTCGGAATGTGTTTTCTAATCAGCAATCTCGAAAATGTTGAAACAGGGTATTCCGAACGACAGTAACGGCCCGTACGACTGATTCCGTCAAAATTATCGTCTATATCTCGCTTCTGTGGAATAAACATTTGAACGGAGAAGGCGTTGCACAGTACGTGGGAAGCACTGCCATACAATCGCAACCATATATTAGACATTCCAGAATGTTCGTTTGTTCAGTTTTAATTTTTTTTATCGAGAACTGTGTCAACATATTTTTCAAGGATTGTCTGAAATGGAAGTCGCCAGGTTGAAACGAGTCCCTGAAGCTCATGAAAGCTGCTTTCTCATTGGCTGATATCGACATCTTGTTATTCATTTCAGTGGTCGGTCAAAGTTCGCGAAAGGTCGTTCTGACCCGTAATTGGATGTCCTCAGATCTTTGTTTAGCGGAAGCGAGAACTTAGATCTGATTTTAATGAGATTGGTCTGATGACTGATTAGGTACACAGATCATATTGGTTATAATTCTCTTGTCACAGGAAACTAGTGAAGCTTTAACGTGGAACTGAAGGTGAAAATAACAATTGTTGAATTCTAAATAAAACATGAAATTCAACTCATTTTAATTGTTTGAAAGTAAATACTGTTGTGGTATCGGAATCTATGTCCTGAATCCTCAATGGGTTTCATGGATTATAGACAAGAGCCAGGCAACTTGGCACGGATTGTGGTGCACATTGGGATTCTTGTTGACAAGTACAAACATTCAAATAACATGTCAAGTTGTAGAACTTACCATCAACATGGGTAGTATGTGCCTTGCTTGTGGCCGGCCCACTAGCTGCAAGTAATGGGGTGTACTGGACTACTGGTGTTTGTATTGGTGCTGCACTGGTGATGTATATGGGGTGTTCTGGTGATGTATTGGTGGTTTCTGGTGATGTATTGGTGGTGTACTGGTCTTGTATTGGTGGTGTATTGGTGATGTATTGGTGGTGTACTGGTTCTTGTATTGGTGATTTACTGGTTTTTGTATTGGCCTTGTATTGGTGTTGTACTGATGGTGTATTGGTTTTTGTATCAGTGATGTACTGGTGATGTATTGGTCTTGTATTGTGATGTATTGGTGGTGTAGTGGTTTTTGTACTGGTGTTGTACTGGTTTTTGTATTGGTGTTGTACTGGTGATGTATTGGTAATGTATTTCTGCAGATAGACATCACTCCATGCACAACATATATTTTGAATATAATATCAAACAGGAAAAAGGCACTGGGCTATCAAAATGTTCTTTGTTAACCTCTTGTCAAAAGAAGATGAAGCTGAAGTGAGTGTGAAACCCCTGTCACTCATTCACCTTTCAGAAGCACAACAGAAAACAGGATTCTATTGTACCACAGATGACTTTGGCCATTTTTACAACTTCATATGCAGTTAAACATTTTTCAAGGTTTCTGAAATCAGGTTTAGCAGGACAGGGCATCGAAATAAGCAGCTGAATTAAATTATTTTTGTCAGTTTCATTCAACATTTAACAAGACCTCCAACAATATCACACATAAATAGGTTTTGGCACATATCCATTATTGTAACATCAGTTCTGTGTTCCAACACCCAGACTAAATGTCCGCCAGGAGTACCCCTTCTGCTGGCCAAGTTCAGGGGTAACGACATGATGCTTCCTGATGGAGAGACTCCCGTAGCGGGGCTGGGAGGTGGGGGGAGGCAGGGGGGCCATGCGGGGGCCATTGTACTTGAGGGTCTTGCGGTTGAACATCGCGTCTTTCACTCGGGTGTTCGCCTGTAGAACGGAGAGTCATGAGTTTACAAGCTGGCTCAGTAATAACTAATAGCTGGCATATACATAAACAAACTAACTATTATAATTAACTAACTAACTAACTAATTATGTGAACCTGCATCAATTTTGGATTAATGTTGAAGTGTCATTTCCCCCAATGATCAAATTCAAAATCAGCCAAGTATAACTGAAAGAGGATGGTTTGGTGCCACTGAAGGTGTTCCCCCAATGATCAAATTTAAAATCAAACTGAGGACAGTGAGGTGCTGCTGTAGCTATTACTGCAGCTATTTCACAACAGGGGACACAGTGATGTTACACATTTCAGCCATACTTCAGCCACTTGTCTTAAGCCTTGCAAAATATCTCTCTAATACTTGAGCTAATCTATAAATTAACACTAAAATCTAATGGAAATGATGTTCACTTGTTCCCAAGTTTGGGTGAGTAGAGTAGCACTGACTGCCTGTGTGGGAATGGAATCTGGGGTTCCTACACGTCACAGATCAGTCACAGATCAGCCACAGATCTCACCTTCTTCTTCTTGTGGGCAAACATCAAGTTGAAGTCTCTCTCCTCAATACACAGCGCCAGGGCTGGGATGCCCCCTCCCGGCCGCCACATCTGGGTGTCAGGGGGAGACAACCCTCCCTCCTCCTCCCGTGTGTCATGCCTGGGGTCTTGACCCACTGTCTGGCTACCCTGCAACCTGTGGAGGAATTGAGAATTACATCACTGATGGTACACAATGGCTTGGAGGGAGAGAGGTGGGGGACTATACATTTATGTAACAGTTTTACAATACATATACCGTGCAATGCCCATTTCATGAATAAGAGAAAGTCAAATTCATTTCTTGTTTCACAAATTTCTCAGAAGGCCAAAAAGCAGAGGGCAAGACAGAAAAAGAAAGAAATTGTCAGTGTTGATTTGAGTTTGACTACCAACGAAAATGTTAAACAAGTTGACCAATATGAGTGAGTGAGTGAGTATGGTTTTACGCTGCCTTTAGCAATATTCCAGCAATATCATGGTGAGGGACACCAGAAATGGGCTCACACATTGCACCCATGTGGGGAATCGAACTTGGGTCTTTATCATAAGGAACGAATGCTGTAACCACTAGGCTACCCCGCCATGAACAAAATGATATCTAAAATAATCACATTTATCAATCAAAGCCAGCATTTCTTTTAGAAAAATAATCATGGCAAAGTGGAAGACTAACCCACTATCATAGTTTCCTTACACTCCTAAGGGACACAACTCTGCAGAGCAAATTGTGGTTCCTGAGGTGACTAGGCCAACTGTGTCTCCACAGGATGAATGGCTACTATTGCTATAGATAGGACAGTGCTGTCCAACACTTGCCTGTCCAGTGGTTGGAGTCGGATTGGGGAAGCTGTGGCTACAAGATTCTCCAGAGTGTAGCGGGCGGCGTCGGCGACCGGGCTGTTGACGACGTCGGCCACAGACTTGCCCGGGAAGAGGCGGGACAGAATGGAGATCACATCCTCATTGGTGGGGTCGAGCAGCAGGCCCAGGATGAGGTCCTGGCGAGCTCCAGTTGAGTTCTGAGGACAGAGGGTCAGTGCGTGAGATGCTGAGATGTCATGGTGACGTTGTATAGGCGTCTCACAGGTGTCGTTCACTGCTGTAGGATTAACAAATGTTAATGATGTGCGATTATCATCAGCATTTCGCTATCTGAGTTGCCAGTCGCTGTCTTGAAAAGAACAATATAAACAATTTGTACGGATATCATGTCGTCACAATGTTGCTGGGACACCACTTGCTTGTCACTTCCTATTTCAAGTTACCCTGCTAAGTGTCTAAAGGCAGTTACAAGACTAATTGATTCACGAATATTTCACCAATAAATAAGTCTTGTAACATGTGAACTTGTTATGACAAATTTGTTGCATGTGTAACAAGTGGAATGTACAAGTCGATGACTTTATGAGCTGACTGTTCGTGTAAACCACTCAATCTTTGGTCTAGTGGTATACAAGTTCATTTAGATCGTAAAATCTCATACACCATGCAAGTGACACTTTTCAAATAGTTACTCGTGGCTGAGGCCGAGGTCCAATCAGACTGCTGAAGGGGTTGGGTCTGAGGGTCCTTCTTTGCACATATTGACCTCGTCAAGAGTAATCATTCCTTTTGCTTTATCGAAATTCACTTTAGAGTTTATGAAGTCCTCTGTTTCATGACAGTAACTTATCTGTGAACTGTGACATGTTCGCACCAGACGCCATCTTGTTTCTTGCAGATGGCAAAAACTATTAAGATACCCGTATAAAATTGATCTGGTCATGCATACACTGAAGTTGACTGAAGCTTTATATTTACTCAAACATACACAAGTCAAAAGGAATGTGTGCATCAGTCAGAAAGAAATGTGAACACTAGCGACAGTAGTGTAACCACTGAGCTATAGTGATGTTTTGTCATTAAAAAACAATGTCACGTGACTCACCACGGGTCCAGGTAGTACTGTGGGTACCCGGGTCCTACTCAGGACCCAACCGACCTGAGTTGCCTGTCCCAGCCCTACCTTCTACTATAGGCCTACATGCGGCCTCATCTGGCTGTTCATGGTTTATAAAACCACTACTCCACTGCTGCCCACGGTTATAATCATGTACTTAGCAGAATAAACTCTGTGGATGCGAGTGAACGTAGGTTCAAACAGAGTTGTCTCCCTCTGATAATGCACAAGCGGAGTTGTCTCCCCATAATGATTTGGGTTCAAACAGAGTTGTCTCCCTTAAATCATGCCGGTTTAAAAACAGTTTTCCCACTACAATCATGTAGTCTCAAGTTCCTTCCCAGTGTGTGACACCTTTGTTACCTTTCCAGTATTATCACTGCCACAAGTGGGCATTAGAAGAATCTTGAAACTTTTCCCTCTGACCAAATATAGAGACCTATATATTTTTGTGTTTGTCTTTGAGAATGTAATTCTAGTCAATGGAGAAAAGGTTTACCACTGATTTAGTATTTCCCAGATGAAATTATGTTTGATTGGTTCAAGATTGCAGACTAACTAAAAAGGAAACACCCTTCGTTGCATTCTCACTAAATTATTTTCCTGATAGTTGAAACGAAATAGAAAACTGAAAAACAAATAAACTAATTTAGCTGGGGGTAGAGTATTCAGCATGATGACGGTCATCATTTGCTAAAAAACATAACAGTCTGTCGGATGCAATTCAACTCCATGCATGGTTGTTGGCTGTCTCACACAGTGGGGAGCTGTGGCTGGTGGCAGCCATAGAAACTAGAGCTCTGCAAGTGGACTATCGCTGTGAGGAGCTTGATGCAGGCTCAAATAGAGTTATCTCACTGTGTTATGATGTAGGCTCAAATAAAGTTATCTCCCTATAATCATGAAGGCTCAAATAGGGTTTTCTCCCTGTTATCATGAAGGCTCAAATGGAGTTATCTTCCTGTAATCATGAAGACTCAAATGGAGTTATCTCCCTGTTACAATGAAGGCTCAAATGGAGTTATCTTCCTGTAATCATGAAGGCTCAAATAGAGTTATCTCCCTGTTATCATGAAGGCTCAAATGAAGTTATCTCCCTGTAATCATGAAGGCTCAAATGGAGTTATCTCCCTGTTAGCATGAAGGCTCAAATGGAGTTATCTTCCTGTAATCATGAAGGCTCAAATAGAGTTATCTCCCTGTTATCATGAAGGCTCAAATGGAGTTATCTCCCTGTTAGCATGAAGGCTCAAATGGAGTTATCTTCCTGTAATCATGAAGGCTCAAATAGAGTTATCTCCCTGTTATCATGAAGGCTCCAATGAAGTTCTCCCTGTAATCATGAAGGCTCAAATGGAGTTATCGCCCTGTTATCATGAAGGCTCAAATGGGGTTATCTCCCTGTTATCATGAAGGCTCAAATGGAGTTATCTTCCTGTAATCATGAAGGCTCAAATGGAGTTATCTCCCTGTAATCATGAAGGCTCAAATCGAGCTATGTCCATGTAATCATGAAAGCGCAAATGGAGTTATCTCCCTTTAGGCTGGCTGATTTACTCACCTCCAGCATGTACCTGGTGCGTGCCCGGGCGATGTAGTACTGCCCAACATGGGGGTTGTACTGGATAGCCTTTGTGAACTTCACCTCTGACTCCTGGAAAGAAAATGTAGGGGAATAAATGTTCCTGTAATATCAGTAACCAGTTCAGCCACTGGATTGTATTATCAAGATGGCAGCCGAAGTGTTTACAGCAGAAAAAGTCACACCATCAACACATCAACAATTGGTCTCAGGATGACTATGGATACCAGACACACTTAAGGCTGATATAGTATGACACCTACTCAATTTATGTACAATGTCCAAGTCACACATTGTAACCACCACAGCCCTTTCTCAGTTAACTCTTCATCCATGACAATCCAGATTAGAATTGGTCTTCAGCAACCCATGCATGTCGTAAGAGGCGACTATCAGGATCAGGTGGTCAAGCTCGCTGAGTGTAGATCGATGCTCATGATGTCTATCACTGGATTGTCTGGACTCGATTATTTACAGATTGCCATCATATAGCTGGAATATTGCTGTGTGCAGCATTAAACAACAAACAGTTAACTCTTACTCCAAACTCTATGTGTATTGACAGAGGAGACAACTTACAGCATAGTTCTTATCCTGGTATGCTCCCACCCCGAACTCATTGTGTATGACGGCGATACGCGACTTGGTTGCCTGGTCGCCGGCGTCCAGCTCCATGGCTTGGTGGTAGTCCTGCAGGGCAAAGTTCAGCTCGTTCTGCTTGAAGAAACAGTCTGAAATGTACAGCATAATTTTTATATTTTTCAAATCTAAAAGTGGTAGTAGTTCCAGTATTTCTTTAACATTGCACAGTCTGGTAATACGGCTTGAAAAATAAAAGAATTGGTTCTCAGGCAATGGATATATAGTGCGCGTGGCAGTGACTTTGAAGAAGAAGAAGGAGGAGGAGGAGGAGGAGGAGGAGGAGGAGAAGAAGAAGAGCTCTTTATCTTTGCTAAAGCCTGAAGACATTTGCCATGACCTGCTAAAGCCAAATCCACAAACTAACCGTTAGATATGATGAACGGATGAGATAAAAGGATGTAATCTGACCCCAACAAATAGTGAAAAGGGTTAATTTCGATAGGATGGTTCGGATTACACAGAGACATAGAAAATAAATTACAACTAACTCAGCACAAAAATGAGAGAGTAACGATTGATGAGTCAATTGGTCACATGGTTCCAGTGTGCCTGCGCGGGACAGGGGTGCGTTCAGCTGAGATGCTTTTCTGTTCTCTGGGAACACAGCACAGGAAGTTTCCACTACCTTTCAGCAATGTTTGTATGTTTGTTTTGTTTGTTTTTTGTTTAATGCTGCACTCAGCAATATTCCAGCTATATGACAGCGGTCTGTAAAGAATAGAGTCTGGACCAATCATGAGCATCGTTCTTACGCAATTGTGATACCATATGACATACATCAACCAAGTCAGCGACCCTGACCACCCGATCCCGTTAGTCGCCTCTTACAACAAGCATAGTCGCCTCTTACGGCAAGCATATGGGCTCTTTCAGAAATGAGAAGAGATTAGCAATTAGTTTGAGTCAGGATAAGGTAAAAATTAGTACTGTTTCAACTAGTCATACGCTCTAAGCTTGAGTTTCTTTTGTTCAGTTTGCAAATTTTGAATTGAGAACATTGTCAAAATAAATCTCCATACGTTGTCTGGAATTGAAATCTCTAGTTTGAAAGAAGGCCAGTAAAGCTCAAAGAAAGGTGCTTTTATTTGGCTAATGTTGACTTCCTGTCAGTCATTTCATTGGTCAGTCAACTTTTGGGAAAGGTCATTCTGACATGACCTGTAACCGGATGTGTGGTAGTAGCGAGCAACAAAGATCGGACTTTAATGAGATTGCAATTTGCTTCAGTTTGAAGACCTTGCTTACCTCCCCTGTTGATGTAGAGTCCCTTCTCATTCTTCTCTCCCTTTATGGCCTTGTTCAGAAGAATGATGGCCTCATCATAGAAACCCTTGGTGAAGCACTCCACAGCAAAGTCATTGTAAGTCAACAGAAGCTGTCGCTGTGAGTCGGCGTACACTGGATTGCTTTCATCGTGATCACACTTGTCAAGGGCCAACAGGAAGTCATCTATGGCCGCGTTGAAGTCGTGAAGCTTCCTATGCAGAGCTCCTCTGAAGTACGATCGAAAGCATGGTGTTGGAAAAAGGTATAAAAATAAAATATTGACAGACAGAACAAAACTTACAAAACCAAACAGGGCAATTCTGGCTCCATCTCTTCACGAGCCAGGGCAAAATAGGTGCCCAGTTCCTTGTGTTTCTCTCCCTGTGAGGATTCCAGGGAAGAATAGGTCCCCGGACCCCTTTCCTATTTCCCTGAGGGGGTTCCAGGGCAGAATAGGTCCCCAGTACCCTTTCCTTATCTCCCTGTGAGGATTCCAGGGCAGAATAGGTCCCCAGTACCCCTTTCTTATCTCCCTGTGAGGATTCCAGGGCAGAATAGGTCCCCAATAAAATCCTATGCTTGTCTCCCTGTGAGGATGCCTCAGCAGAATAGAGCCCAGTACCCCATGCTTGATAATTAATAAAAGGTCATTGTGATATGGATGGAATGTTACCTTAAGACATGGTACCCGGCAACCGAGGGGTTCGTTTCTATGGCGATGGATATTTTTTGTAGAGCCTCTCTGTGTTTGCTGAGGACGTTCAGATGCATGGCCTGTTTCTTGTTGTCGTCTGCTCGATGCTCCAGGGCGGCCATCATCATCTGGGCTTCAGGATGCTCCGTGTCCAGGGCCAGGGCATCTTTCACATCGTAGTAACACAGAGTCGTCTGGAACACATCAATATACATTGCAGTAATAGCGTCTACCATAACTTGTGCACCTCTGCATTGTGTTGCAGATTGCATGTTTTGTTTGTTTGTTGTTTAACGCCGCACTCAGCAATATTCCAGCCACATGACGGCTGTCTGTAATAATCTGGACCTGACAATCCAGTGATTGACATCATGAGCACCGATCCATGCAGTTGGGATATGATGACATGCATCAACCAAGTCAGTGAGCTTGACCACCTGATCCCGTTACAACAAGCATAGTCGCCTTTTATGGCAAGCATAGGTTGCTGAAGACCTATTCCAACCCGGATCTTCACGGGTCACAGATTGCATGTATGTATCCTATACACAGCAGAATAAGCCAATATAACTCAGAATGTTGCACAACCTGCAGAGCTGGCGTTCTTTATTGTGAATATTAATGTTTTGGGGTCCTTTTATGTGCACAAGCATTCTTTAGCAGACATTGTTCTTTGTTTTATATCACATCTTTTCTTATCTATCTGCATGATGTATCAACGTTGTTCATTGACATTTGTTTTGTATATTGAGTTTCATTATTCATTTATTCGTAATACTGCATACTTTATTCGTAACATCTGACTTTTAAGGCAGACTGTGACCTTTATTTCAGTAATGTATTTTTTTACCGAATGTCCGTCCATACTCACGTTTCTGAACATCTCATGCAACCTGGCCCTCATGATGTAGAGGTCTGCGTTGGTGTTGTCCATCTCCAGCCGTTTGTTGACCAATGCCAGGCACTCTCCATGACGCTGCAGCGCCGCCAAACAGGAGATACTGCAACACATGTCAGCATATTACAACAACACTCTGTCTCAAAATCTGAGCCTAAACTGGTCTCTTCAACCATTAAAATATTTGTTAAAATATGACCTTCTACTGGCAGAGATTACTCTTTGACTGCAGACAATGTTACTCTGACTTCAGACAATGTTACTATCTGATCTAGACATTGTTTCTCTGACTTCCGACAATGTTACTTTCTGACTTCCGACAATGTTACTCTCTGACTTCAGACAATGTTACTCTCTGACTTCAGACAATGTTACTCTCTGACTTCAGACAATGTTTCTCTGACTTCAGACAATGTTACTTTCTGACTTCAGACAATGTTACTCTCTGACTTCAGACAATGTTACTCTCTGACTTCAGACAATGTTACTCTCTGACTTCAGACAATGTTACTCTCTGACTTCAGACAATGTTTCTCTGACTTCAGACAATGTTACTTTCTGACTTCAGACAATGTTACTCTCTGATTTCAGACAATGTTACTCTCTGACTTCACACACTGTTACTCTCTGACTTCAGACAATGTTACTCTGAGTTCAGACAATGTTACTCTCTGACTTCACACACTGTTACTCTCTGATTTCAGACAATGTTACTCTGACTTCAGACAGTGTTACTCTCTGACTTCAGACAATGTTACTCTCTGACTCAGACAGAGTGGGTAAAAGTTTCAGACTGCAACAGTCGCCTACATTTTATTCCTGTAAAAACAACCAAAATTCAAACTAGACATACTCAATTAGAAATTAAAGTTAGACTGATTTTTTTCTTCATTTTTATAATGCAGTAATGGAATACAGGTAGACATTATCTCATGGTTCCATATCTTCCAAGGTATATGTCAAAGGCCCTAGTCTCTGTCCTAATAGCCAGGCATCATGTTCTGTTGACGTACTCACCTTCTGATGTGGTAGCCGATGTTGTCAGGCTTCATCTCGGCCGCCCTGGAGAAGGACTCGAGGGCCTCTGCATACAGGTGCTGGTCAAACAACATTTGGCCCTGAAACAGTGGACAGTGGTCAGTCTTCATCTGGGAACACTTGGAGAATACTGACAGCCCTGAGAACTTTTATAGCTCACCTGGAAGTAGTAGAGGAACGCCACCTGACAGTATAACACCTTGTTGCTGGGGTCCAGAACTACGATAGCTCACCTGGAAGTAGTAGAGGAACGCCAGCCGACACTAGAACACCTTGTTGCCGGGGTCTAGAACTAGTAAAGCTCACCTGGAAGTAGTAGAGGAATGCCAGCCAACAGTAGAACACCTTGTTGCCGGGGTCTAGAACACCTATAGCTCACCTGGAAGTGGTAGAGGAACGCCAGCCAACAGTAGAATACCTTGTTGCCGGGGTCCAGAACTAGAATAGCTCACCTGAAAGTAGTAGAGGAACGCCAGCCGACCGTAGAACACCCTGTTGCCGGGGTCCAGGACAACTATAGCTCACCTGGAAGTAGTGGAGTTTAGCTCACCTAAAAGTAGTAGAGGAACGCCAGCTGACCGTAGAACATCCTGTTGCCGGGGTCCAGAACAACTATAGCTCACCTGGAAGTAGTGGAGTATAGCTCAACTGAAAGTAGTAGAGGAGCGCCAGCCGACACTAGAACACCTTGTTGCCGGGGTCTAGAACACCTATAGCTCACCTGGAAGTGGTAGAGGAACGCCAGCCAACAGTAGAATACCTTGTTGCCGGGGTCCAGAACTAGAATAGCTCACCTGAAAGTAGTAGAGGAACGCCAGCCGACCGCAGAACACCCTGTTGCCAGGGTCCAGGACAACTATAGCTCACCTAGAAGTAGTGGAGTCTAGCTCACCTAAAAGTAGTAGAGGAACGCCAGCCGACCGTAGAACACCCTGTTGCCGGGGTCCAGAACAACTATGGCTCACCTGGAAGTAGTGGAGTATAGCTCACCTGAAAGTAGTAGAGGAACGCCAGCCGACTGTAGATCTTCTCATTGCTGGGTCCCAGGAGGCATGCCTTCTTGTAGTTGAGGACAGCGGACTGGAAGTCACACAGCTGGACATAGCTCTCGGCCCTCTGTATGTAAAACACTGAGTCATCCGGCATCAGGCCTATCGCCTTCGTCAGACACTTGATGGCTGCCACGTGGTCCCCAGACTTCTTCAACTCCTCGGACCTGTTTAAACTACACAAGAGGAATACTTCAGTGATAAACAGGTCATCAGTGGAACTAGATTATTCAGACCTGGGTACCATTGAAAACATAATGGGTTAATTATTTATTAGTTTTATAGTATATTAACAACATTTAAAAAATGTTTTATATATCTAGGTCTATAACTTGTTAAATTTCGTAAGCAACAATCTGACTTTCTTTCACAAAGGGAGGTAATTTAGGAATTGTAAAGCTTTGTTGTCAATCATCTAAAACACAACCAGTTTGCATGAACTTGGAGATAACTTTGTCCTTTTCTATCATCTTAAATTACGTCTAGTTTTTAACCAGTTTGATTCTTTACATGGCTGTGCAGTGAGATAACTAAAACTGTCAAGTATGTTTCCGAAAGCAGTTCGATGATGTTCCACTGTCAGACAGCAACGCAAAATGAATTTATTAGGGTAAAAATATCATTTATACTTATCCTGACTCATACTAACTGCTTATGTCTTCTCTCTGCTTATTAACAAGGATGGAAAATGTCTTTTTCTTGTGACATTCTCACTCATGGCTGTGTCACTCATAAAAATGTCAACTTTGACAGGTCACACAAAGATATAAACATGTTATCTGATAAGTAAAGACTCTATTTGTTTCCTCAATACACCTTTCAAAAAATAATAACATTCAAAACTTGATGAAAAAAACAAACAAATTAAATCCTGACGCCTGCTGCCCCACCAACTCACTGTTCATCGGCCCTGTCACTGATAATCTGTCCCCCGCCGGGCGTGGCGGGTTTCGACTCCGTCTGCCACTCTTCTGTGGTGAAGATACTTTTGTTCCTGGCCATCGCTGCCTCCAGCGTCTCCTCATCCACCGCGGTGGAGAACACACCTGGCTCGGGCTGGGGCTCGGGCTGAACAGGGGGACGAAGACTCATTGTCAAAAACAAAACACTGACACTAAAACAAAACACTGACACTAAAACAAAACACTGACACTAAAACAAAACACTGACACTATAGTACAGATAGTGAGTGGGTCAGTCAGGTTTTATGACGCTTTTAGCATATTCCAGCAGTATCCAGGCAGGGGACACTAGAAATGGGATCCACACATTGTACCCATGTGGAAAATTGAACCCAGGCTTTTGGCATATGAACAAACGCTTTAACCACAAGGCTACCCCACCACAAAAGTAACTGTCATACCCAGATGCCTAATCCAATAAGCAATCCTAGTGCTATGATAACCTACGCAGGAATTACAAATGTCCTTGTGTTATCATCACTTTGTGGAATGGTGCGGTGGCCATTTAACCATGGTTTCTTGTTTGCAAACCACAGGACCTTTTTGTGAAATTCATGCATATTCATGAACCAAACCTCCATTACTGGTTTAAGAATACACCAACCTTAAAATTGAAAATTCAAAAGTAAAAATATAAAGTATTTTTTATACCATATCCAGTAACAATCAATTGACAATAAAAACAATCCAAAAGATTTCTAAGATTTTCTATACATCAGCGATAAATCAGTATTACCATGTGAATACTGGTCAGAGTTTAGGTTTATCATGTTTATGAGGACCTATACAAGGATCTATATATTATATAAATATTTTTTCCACCTTTAAAAGGGGTGGTCGGGTAGCCTAGTGGTTAAAGCGTTCATGCCGAAGAACCGGGTTCAATTCCCGACATGGGTACAATGTGTGAAGCCCATTTGTGGTGTCCCCCGCCGTGATATTGCTGGAATATTGGTAAAAGCGGCGTAAAGCCATACTCACTCACTCTCACTCAACCTTTAAACATATCTTTTACTATCAATACCCATAAACCCACTTAAACAATCTGACCCTACAAGAAACTGCAGCCATGTATTTACTGTTCTGGAATGAACTATGACATAAATCTCAGTAAACGAAATAAATGACATCCACCCAATCACCTGGGTTTCTGAACTGCTCAAACACGAGAGGTGTTCATTACACTGACTACAGCACATACAACATGCACCTTTTCTGAAACATCACAACAGTCATACACAAAACAAGTCACTACAGGGACTTTTCTAGATCTGCTCAGAAGCGCCAAGTCTGCAGCAAATGACTAGAAGGTCATTATTGGAATACAAAAATTTGGGAATTTGTCATATTCATGTGACTAATATTATCTTAATTTGTGTTCATTCCCATAGTGGAATTCAAACAATCTGTGCATAATTATGTGATAATATCATAGTCAAAACTAATGTTACGACGTTGAAGAGTGAGTGAGTTGGATTCAGCGCCGCTTTAAACAGTATTCCAGTTATATCACAGCATGTCAGCTTGATGTGGGAGAAAAGCCTGAAGTGATACAGGTCTCCGAAGGTCTACCACTTTGGTGAAACCCACGAGCACAGGCATGGTGCTGACAAACCTAGAAACATGATCAGGGCGGTTCAAAATGTTCAAAACAAAATGGTGAATAATAACGTACAGTGCTGTTTAGGCCATTAAAATAAATAGTCTTGTTTCTTGATACTTTTTTTCAAAGCTTTCAGGGTATGAAGAGAGGTTGTTTTGCAACAATCATTTTGTTAGTTACAAAACTGTAAACATCAACTTGATTTCTAATGTACCAAATGACCATTTGTGGGAGATGTATGTATACACTATGAAGGACCAGATGTGTGCAAAAAGTTTGAATCTGGTACAAAAACAACTTTGACTTGAAAAAAGAAGAGAAAGAGAGAAGGAAAGAAGAAGTATTTTTTCAACAATCCTTTATACATAAAACAGACATATTTGTGTAAGAAATAATGGCTACCACTTCTAGACAGAACACACAGATACATCACTGGCTACAGATCACATCTAGGTAAAAATATTTCAATCACAAAATAGGCATGGTTGCATTATTATGGTTTAACTACGTTTACAGGTTTAAGGACACAGACTGTACAGTGGAAATGGTCAACAAAGATACTGTATTCGACATAATAAGTGCCCAGGGCGTTCTCAAAATTAGAAATAGGGGGCTCTTATTAGAATATTATTTTGGTGAAAAAAACAGAGTTGAAAGATAAATTTCATGGTTATGCTGACAGCCTGAAATGTTAATGTACGACAGATATATTTTTCCAGAATTTTATTGCACCCATAATTAAGGGTGCATATAGCACACGACTGCGTATTATACGCGAATAAATTAGTCTTGTGTACATCGATCAATCGGAAGGGGTGCTAATTGGGATTGTTCACCAGCCAATATATCAGCAAATGTCAACGTGGGCGCTTAGTAGAGCGGGGCGCTTATTACGTCGAATACGGTAACAGAATGACCATGCTTGAAATAGATGGCAGCTCGACATGCCCATTCAACTGTGAGTGTGTGAATTGAGTTTAACACTGCTTTGAACAATATTTCATGTATGGCACAGTGTGTCAGCTTGTGTGGGAGGAATGTCCAAAGTGATGCAGGCCTTGGATGTTTTTACTCCTTTTTCTGCAACCCACACACATCAGTGAGCTAGATGCTCACAAAACAAGGATCATAATCAGGGCAAACCTGGAATTTAAACCCAAGATCATAGGATCCTTGCATGCTTAGGGGACACAACTGAGGTACAGTAAATGGGCCATCTTTGTCCACAAAGATCTAGTAACTACTCAAGTCTTCCATCAAATCTATATAAAGTTGAATGCAGATGCACAATTACTACTTCTATACTTCTATATACACCGATTCACAAAATTGCGCTTTGTTGTTGATGGCAACAAAAAACTATCATAATGAGATTAAAAAAAAGACAAGAGAAACAGCTTCCCACATTATGAAAGTGGATGACTGGTTTGTTAAATCTTTATTAGAAATAATAATTACTTTTTCAATATAATTACAACGTTTTTTATCTTATATTATTGAATATCTGCGAGTACCGGCACATGTCTTGCAGTCCGACTTCGCAGTGTTTTTTGCCTCTCTCTTGCTTAATATCTGCGGGTCATATCATTTTCTTTCGTATTTCAATGGTCAAGTTAATACCTCGGCTTATCTAGGGGGTCGGCTTATCCGCGGTCATATACAGTAGGTATTTGAAAGTCAGGCATAAGCATGATAAGTTTACAAGAATTATTTTACATGTTGTAAGGATGGATAACAATGTGGCAGTGGTCTTCAATGATCATATCTTGTTTCAGTATGAAAAATTCTGAATGTTTTGGCCACACTTTTTTTATTTTTCATTTCACGGACACACCACCCCTACTGAAAGCAGCTGGAAAAGAATAAATTACACATAAAAATATTTATTTTTATTATGTCTCCCACTAGTAACATAGACCCTCTTATACAAAATAAAAGGTCATGAATAAATTCCATGTCTACATCACTATCAGTGATCCGAGAAGCCAGCTGCAGTTTTAACTCCACATCAGAAAGACTTTCACATAAATAAATAAATGATTGACATAGCTGGGGTTTTTTATCTTTATTTGACCAATCTTGTACGGAAAAGCTGGAATAAATCTGTGAAACATAAAATTAAAAACGTGTGGCCTTAATCTTGTTTCAAGGAAAAAGAGTAAAAACTGTGCAAAATCCTTAATTATCCTGTAGTGTATCATATCACAATTCATTGGTAATAATTACACAAGACCTATTCTCCACCACTACTTTGTTTTGGAAGTGATGCCACAATCTCCATGGCACGAGGCACGAGGGTCTAGTGTATTTATTGTAAGAGAATAGAGATAGAAACCAGGCAGAATAAGTCTGCAGTCTGCAACTTTATCCACTAGTCCGAAGTCTGAGTCTAGTAAAATTCTGTTGGACAGGTAAGCTCAGTTACTGATAGGCTAAAAATAACATTAAATCAACAGAAAATGTTCAGGCTAGTAGATCATGATTTGATTTATCTTAATATGAATAATATCAGCATCATCATCCCACTGTAGTATCGGATATATAACACGTCGTTCGCATGCTATATACATTTGGTTGTACATCTATACACACACTACTACAGCACACAGTGGAACATCAGTTGTCATTGGCCATAAGCGAGTTCTCCAAATGTAATTCTCCAGTCAATGTAGCACAAATTGTTTTCAAGATTTTATTTACAAACCAAATTTCAAAATTTTTGCTTGTACATTGATTCAATATTTATGTTTACTTTTCCATTACATTTCTTCTTACAGCATTTCGTTTAAACTTTGCCACATCCTGTGAACTTAGCAACAACAGTGTTCACCAGTTCACTATTGCTGACGTGTTTAAAATATAAAAGAACAGGGGTCGATTTAACTGCTGGCCTGTTGGCCCATAGTCAGTTAAAATTACAAAGGGCTTGCTGAAACTTAAAGTAGATGGCCTGCCTGGCCAGTTAAAATTTCACCCCTTCTCTGTGTATGTTTAATATTTTTAATTGTATTAACCCGGTAGAATGAAAAGCGGCTGCCATTTTGTAATGTTTTGTACAACAGCTTCTTTACTTGCTCATAAATCACCATGAAATGAGGCAAATGGAAGCCAAGATTAAATCTCAGTGTGCAGGAAAAACGTGTTAGGGGTGAGGAGTTCTAACATTTTCAGAGCTCTACTTGGTGGCTACACGACCTCAGGTTCAGCCACTTTGCAGCCTCCATCATTTAGTTGTAGTGAGTCAGTTGGGTTTAATGCCGCTTTTAACAGTATTCCAGTTATATCGCGGCGTGTCAGCTTAATGTGGGAGGAAAGTCCGAGGTGATGCAGGTCTCAGACGTTTACCACTTCGGTGAATCCCACGAGCACGGGTATGGTGCTGACAAACCTAGAAACATAATCAGGGTGAACCGGGATTCGGACCCACAATCATAGGTTTCTAGCATGCTCAAAGGACGCAACTCTGCACAGCGAATTGCAGCGCCTTAGACGACTGGGCCACCCGTGCCCCCCATTTAGTTGTAGGCCAGTTAGTTTGGAGAAGAGCCAGTAACTTTTAAAAGAAGCAAGCCCTGCTGGCTACATACAAGTTTGTTGTTAAATCTACCCCTGAAAATAATTCAAGCAGTGTCTACATACATGCAAAAATTAGTTAAACAAAGCTTGGAAATAAATTATTTTTGCAACTTTGAAATAAATGTATCATAGGTAGCATGGAGAATTACAGGAAGCAAAATTACTTAATTGTGGCCAATGGCTGTCTGTACACTTGGCTGTCTACAGTACCTACCTTCTTGCCCCAAATAGCACGGAACAGCTGCAATCAGTTCAACTCACATGTATCATTCAATAACTTAAAGCTTCATAAACAATGAGTGAGTGAGGTGGGTTTAATGCTGTCAGCTTAATGTGGGAGGAAGATGCAGGTCTCAGATGTTTACCAATATGGTGAAACCAAAGAGCTTGGGTATTTCTGACAAACCTAGGAACACAATCGGGGTGAACCAGAGTTTAAATGCAAGATCACAGGTTTCTGGCATGCCCAAGGGACGCAACTTTGCAACGCAAATTGTGGCACCTCAGACGACTGGCTCCCCTCAAAAACAATGAAGTTTAGGGACTGACTGTCATATTCTGGAGGGAGGAGCCACAGAGCTTTGTTTGCAACAGAACATATTTTCAGCCAGAACTTCAAGACATTAATATTGTTTCTCTAAAAAGAGGAACTAAAGAACATTTTTACTCAAACCACCATATTTTTGAAAACACCCAACATATCTAGTGAGCAAATTTAATGTTTTGCAAACCTGTGGACAAATTATGTTTAACCATGATTTGGGGGAAAAGATCACAGAAAATTGATAAAATATACATCATGTACATTACTACATCCTAACATGTCTAATCTAGCATCCATCCAGCCCTTGGTTTTGCGACCAAGTTATGAACTTGACCTCTATGACCCTGATGACTTATCATGAAGCTGCAAAGTGACTTCTTGTCATGAAGACGTGAGATTTCCTCCAGACTGCCTCCAGATTTCCTCAAGCAAAATCCTCTTAATGACTACAAATATCAGACTATCATTCCCAATTTCTACAATTCAAATTGCAACTTGAATGCTATAAACCAGCTCTGTTGGTTTGACCAACAGTTATATTCCTTCACTGTATTATGATTGAAAAATAAACCTTACTGAAGGACTGATTATTACTTTATTAATAATTTTGCTCCTTGAGTAAATTAGTGAAATTGTGTTGGCTGTTTCAACACCGCTCAGAAAACTAACATTAGGAGCTAGGTGTCTCCCAACAAGTATATCAAACTTTGAGGCCTGGTGTCTTGAATTCATTTTATGAACAAACAATAGAGAATCATTTGTCTGGTGAAATTGCTTCAGTATATATATTTTATATTCGTCAAAGGCAGTATGGATCATAATTACCTGGGGGTCATTTTCGGCACAGTTGTTGGCATCAGCCTGGAGCTCCCCTCCATCAGCATCTTCCCCATCATCCCCGCCACTTGTGATTGCCCTCATGCCACCCCCGTTCTCCTCCTCAACAAACTGTTTAATGGCAACCTCCATCTGGTGCTGCTGTTCCTCGGCAAACCTGCTGGCGCTCTTTGTGAAGGTATGTTCCAGTACTGGGTAGAACTGGTGGACGTTGACATTCTTAGGTTCGTGTACGTAACCCTGCATTTCACCGCCGACAGATTCAGATTTCTTGTGAGTACTCTTACTCAGGGAGCCACCCCCTGGGGCCCCCTTCTCTCCATCAGAAGGTTTAATGGTGGTCGACATCTTCAAGTTCGTTTCTGATGATGAACACTTCAGCCTCCTGAGGCTTCCATTCCCCTCAAATCACTGAAAGCAATAAAATTACACAATAAGTTTGAGCAATGTGAAATTATGGATTTCAGTCCAAAATGAATTAATCTTTCAACACTTCTTTCGCAAAATTAAATTCAATAAAATGTTTATTTGTCACATAAAGTGATATCGCTTAAGCCAACCTTTCTTCATCACACAAAATCTGCTGTGATATGATGAATAATGGATGATGTTATCTCAAATTATTGTGACAAAGCAATGTCATGAAGTCATGTTTCTAAGGCCTGGTTAACGACCACTAAAACAATGGAACAATAGGTTGAATTAGCATAAAGACAAAGTATCTAGTCTCAGAGTCAGACGATACCACTGAATATATAATAACCTGATATCAGAAGATATCCTCTAATCTTTTCACTCTTTACAATAATGTTTTCATTGCAATGATCTAAACATAACCGCATCAGGGATAGACACCATGAGTATAATTCCGCTAGTCCACAGGTCAGTCCAGGCTACTGGTTTCTGTAACCTTCATAAGGAAACAACTTGCAAGCTGTCCCAGTAACTTTTGCGTCTACTAGTCCGAAGATGGATTCATTAGATTTTAGTGTTATCATATGGACAATTATCAGCTGAGTGTACTAAACTGAACAGAATTTTACCAGACTCAGGCTTTGGACTAGTGGCTAAAGTTGCAGACTGAACTTGCCCTTCCAGATAGTTGCTTGTCTCAACCCAACAGACCAGTGGTCATGTTTAACACTGAATTTATACTAAACTTTGTCTACACAAAAAATAAAACTGATCGTGCACATAGAATTATAACAATACCCTAGCTTATACAATAATATTATTAGCGAGGTAATAGGCATGAAACTAAACACCTGTTAAATGTGTTAAGCAACCGTATTCCACCACCAGTAGGAATGACGAGAGGTGCAAAACAAACAAATTAAGTAGACCTGATTCATTTTAACTACCAACTTTTGTATATACAATCAGAAGAATATTTTGCAATTAGTTTTGTTACCAAATAACATATATTCCACATGTATACATGGCCTTACAAAACATATGTTAGTGTAAAAATAAAGGCAATGGCTTGATACTTTGGTGAACTGTTTCTTACAGCTTGTCAGGGTCAGAAATTAAATTTTATTTTCACTACAAAAAATTATCTGAGTTTCCATCTACATCATCATTAACATGCACAGGGAAATGTTGCGTGTTGTTCCTACATCAAATTCATCTGACTCGTCTACTAGATCTTCCAACAGTTAACTTGTCTAATTAGTAAACAATTATCATGGTATCAGCAAAATGTTTATAATCTGCAGAAATTCTGGATAAAAATTCACATATAATTCACAAAGTGTGCCAGTGTTCTAGTGCCTCCAGATTTGAATAACATCTAAGTCTTCTTATCTATGAAAGAATGTAAGAGTGGAATCTGCAGAATAAGAAATCAATAGTGTATGTATAAGCTTGTAGGGGATTCAAGATTATCGATCACTGTACATATTGTTCACTTAAATATTGTCTGTAGTGACTTGGACATTTCATATTTCATCCATTGTTCTCTTGATAATTTAAGTTATAAGTTAATGTTACATTTGGTTAAGTTTCATAAATGTTTTCATAGACATGACAAAAAAATATTTGGACAATGAGATGTCTGTGGACAACAAGCAATACATGAAATGGTATATGGGTACACTTGCATTATACCAGACACCCATCCGCCACATTTGTTTGATGCTACTAATAAACCCGCAGGCAACACCTTCGATATACTAGAAATATGGTGAAAAGCTCATAATGAACAGAATAAATTACCCCGGTTGCTTTTGTAAGGTTTAATATGAATAAACGTTGAAATTGAATATCAAGGCAATCCATAAACATAAAAAACTGGACATCAACATTGAAAAAGTACTTGAAAATAGAAGTTACATCATGGTGTGTGACAACCTCATCAGTGACATCCATCAGTGCCACATTTCAGCAAACACATATTTTGTATCTACTTTGTTGTATTTTGTATGTATCTACTTTGATGATAAACATTACATTTACTTACGAAAGCATTTGATTCAAGGTGTTGTGTGAGAGACAAGACCCCCAACCCCAAAGTTATTTAATCAAGGCGACAAAAAATGACATTTGGCTGAGGTGCCGTTTTAGCCTGCACCCCTAAAAAACTTAGAAACTGTTACTAAGGAATGAGCATGTGCACATTCCTTACCAAAGCGGCAGAATGTGTCCGTTATTCTGCATTCTGGTTTGTAAATGGATGAATTAACTGTTCACAAATCATATGCACATCTATTCACTTCTATGTTTTTGTTTAACCCCAATGAAAAGAACATACTATAAACTGTATCACCAACCATAACTGGGAGCAAGTCACTGTAGTGTAGTCAAGTAGGCTTAGTCTAAATTATTTGCCGTACTTTGGTCAAGTCCCTGATCATGAAAAACGTTTGACAAATGACAATTACGTCAGAAAGTATTTTGACTTCACAAGACTTCAGTCAATGAAACACAAAATTCTGTTAGGTCTAAATTTAGTATCTTTAGTTAGATCTAGGCCCAGATCAAGATCTAAAATCAAATTAATTTACGGTTCAACAATTAGAAATCAAACAAATATATTCTCCACAATATCAAAATCATCAGAAAGTGAAAGGTGTATTTTCTGTACCTTTTATTGTTTCATTATTTCCATACGATTGCTACATGGTGGGACAAGTTCACAAGTCACGATACATTTCCGTCTTGACGCCTTGTTGTTTACACATTTCCATGGAGAAGGAACTTCCGGTTTCTTTGAAACGGACACGATGTAAAATGTATTTTGATTGGTTAACAGGGGATTTGGGTCATTGAGTAATATACGATTTTAAAGAAATTAGCTATGAAATAGTTTGGTTTTAATGCTGATTTAATATAGTTGATTTTTCCGTTACAAACAGACGCAAATAAAAAATTGAAAATAGATTTGCAACACCAGAATAAACTAAATTGATATGTTAAAAGCGATGTTTTCAATGAGCCAATGAAATGTGCCGTTACTAAAGGGCTCAGGAATTAGTGCTTGAAGCGCTATCATGGCGGATAACATGTTCCGATGTAAACTTATTGGGAGTCAGTTCTTATTGTAAAGAGGATTTTCTTCATTCTTTTGCCACAGACATGGAAGACATTGAAGATGAGGGGGATTTAAGCCTAAATGATGACCTGATAGACCAATGTGATGAAATCAGGGTTATTGCTGCAAAGGTGAGCTTAGAGTTTGTTCTGTTTTCGATCAAAACAGAGTATGTGACTTTGACGATCAGTTGATCACCATAGTACAAATGACCAATCGTCAACTCGAGAGACGTTACTTCCCTGGTAATTGCATGGTTAATGTTTGTGTTTTTATATTAACGTCATGACATGACATTATAATGAACTAAAAAGAACCTACACCGTCTAGATACCCTTTAGAATGGATTAAGTTCATCCGAGCTGTGGGGTGTGGTGTTGATCGTGTCAGTGTGATTACACGGTATAACTGGGATTGCCTTTATGTGTAATTGGTCCCCGATGGTGTGGATTTTGTCATCGGTTAATAGTACATGGTAATCACAAGAGCACATTTGCATTGTAATTAATGGCATAAATGATAAATAACTTATGGTGTCAAAGATAGTATAGGGGAGCACATGTCACTAAGACAAGCAACCAGTTTTTGTTAGAATCTGTCAGAAGCGAACATGAGACCATCAGAGTTTTAGCCTGACAGCTAACTGACTGAGCCACGCCCACACTTAAACTTCGTGCAAATGTCTGTGTATTCATGAATGACATGGTAGTTAATAATTCGTTGAGTGATTTTGTGACAGAAAAGTGTTGGAGGGAACACAGTATGGATAATGTTGATCATAGTCAGGAAAAAGGAGTGAAATTGGCAAGTAACGCCACGTGTGTGAGTCAGCTTTTGAATCACTACTGAGCAATGTAACGAGTGAAAGTGGCGGCTTGGGTGGAAGTACCAAGACAGTTTCCTGTAGCCAAAATATTTGACACTAAACCATTTCATTTTGATGGTTTTTGTATGAAGAATATTATAAAAGCATCTGAGAATTGAAAAGCAATTCACAACAAGTGCATATTTTGCATGCTTGGACACTTCCGCTTCCGTCCTTTAAAATGCATGAGAAGTAGGGACAACCCCCTTTGACTCCCAGCACAGTTATTTACCTGTCGTTTTCATTAAAAAAACAGAGCCTACCAAACCTAACTGATTGATTGCAAAAGATGTCCCACGTTAGATAGTGTTTGGAGTGGTGACGTTTGGATGTGTGCATCATCAATAATTATATACCTAACAATCTGCATTCCTGTGCATAAAAATTAAACATAACTGAATTTATAATAGATAATAGATAGACATATTCCCCGAATGATAAATGGTACATGTATCAGCAGACATATTCCCCGATTGATAAATGGTACATGTATTAGCAGACATATTCCCCGATTGATAAATGGTACGTGTATTAGCAGACATATTCCCCGATTGATAAATGGTACATGTATTAGCAGACATATTCCCCGATTGATAAATGGTACATATATTAGCATACATATTCCCTGATTGATAAATGGTACATGTATTAGCAGACATATTCCCCGATTGATAAATGGTACATGTATTAGCAGACATATTCCCCGATTGATAAATGGTACATGTATTAGCAGACATATTCCCCCATTGATAAATGGTAGATGTATTAGCAGACATATTCCCCGATTGATAAATGGTACATGTATTAGCAGACATATTCCTCGATTGATAAATGGTACATGTATTAGCAGACATATTCCCCGATTGATAAATGGTACATGTATTAGCAGACATATTCCCTCATTGATAAATGGTACATATATTAGCATACATATTCCCCGATTGATAAATGGTACATGTATTAGCAGACATATTCCCTGATTGATAAATGGTACATGTATTAGCAGACATATTCCTCGATTGATAAATGGTACATGTATTAGCAGACATATTCCCCTATTGACAAATGGTACATGTATAAACATTTATTTTGTCCCACTAAACCAAACCCACCCACAAAACTTCATGTCACATAAAAGATACATTTGAGCTACACAAAATGTTTTTTTATTTCAACTACAACAGGCTGTTTTAGAAAATATCTCTAAGCCATAAAATATATAAATTTGGGCCTTATGTCATGTATATTGATAAAACATCATATAGTAAATAGAAAAATACTTACTGATTACCTTGAAACGACTTCAGCACTTACCTTCAAGCTTCCTGTTCTAAACTGGGATGTCCAGTGATGTTCCCTTGATCACCAGCCTTCATATCCCAATGATAGAAACTTAACAACTGCTAACACAAAATTATCGGGCGTGCTTGTTATAAAAAGGCCCAGTGATCTGGGATGAAGGTTAGAGCATTCTGGTATAAGGTCGTCATTAGCTGATGGGTGAATATTTGATGAGGGTTTGATGTGGAGGAGAAAAAGTTCACACACACCACGTAGATGCTCAGTTCGGTGCACGGAGGGTATGGGTTGAGATGAGGGAGTGACGGTTGATGCAATATTGCCCTTCATTTTGTTGAAACTCCTCAACATACTAGGTGACTGACCATTTGATAATCTTTGGGTTGGGGGGACACTGGGATATTTTTTTTAAATTGTTTCAGAAAATATTGCCAGCATATAATTTCAGCTCAGGTTTTTTTATCAACATCCAATTTTGTTTGTTTTCTGCATATGCTGGATGTCATGAAAAATATATGTTGTTGAAAAAAGATTTGTTTGGCTGTTTCTGTCAGAGAAATTAATTGTATGTTTTGAACTAGTGATTCACCCTTCCCTTTCACATAGCACCCCTCTCCCTCTCATGCAACAGCCCATCCCTCCGTTGCCACCCGTCCTCCCTCCATGCACAGCACCCCCTCCCTCCATGCAGCACCCCCTCCCTCCATGAAGCACCCCCTCACTCCATGCAGCACCCCATCCCTCCATGCAGCACCCCCTCCCTGCCATGCTGCCTCTCTTTCCTTCCATGTAGCATCCTTCTCCCTTCCATGCAACACCCCATCCCTCCGTTGCCACCCGTCCTCCCTCCATGCAGCACCCCCTCCCTCCATGCAGCACCCCCTCCCTGCCATGCTGCCTCTCTTTCCTTCCATGTAGCACCCTTCTCCCTTCCATGCAACACCCCATCCCTCCGTTGCCACCCGTCCTGCCTCCATGCACAGCACCCCCTCCCTCCATGCAGCACCCCCTCCTTCCATGCAGCACCCCCTCCCTGCCATGCTGCCTCTCTTTCCTTCCATGTAGCACCCTTCTCCCTTCCATGCAACACCCCATCCCTCCGTTGCCACCCGTCCTGCCTCCATGCACAGCACCCCCTCCCTCAATGCAGCACCCCCTCCCTCCATGCAGCACCCCCTCCCTCCATGTAGCACCCTTCTCCCTTCCATGCAACACCCCATCCTTCCATGTAGCACCCTTCTCCCTTCCAGTGATTTGGGGTTAGATTAGGTCCCCAGCAACCTATGCTAGTTGTAAGAGGTGACTAAATAGATGGGGTGGTCCAGCTCAGTGGCTTGGTCATTTGTGTATCATTGTAACCCGATGATGTGGTTTGTCTGGTCCAGACTCAATTATTTATAGGCTGCCGTCCTATAGCTAGAACATTGATGAGTACATTACTGAGTACAACTTTTACCAAACAGAAAATTGTAATGACAATGACATCTAGCTCATATGGGAACTGTGTTGCCACTGTCCATAGATCCACGACCGTCCAGGTACATGTTGTATGAATAATTCATGGACTACGTCCATGGAAGGTTACGGACTATGGAAGGTTACGATCACCTACTCTAGTGAAACATGTCCAGTTCTGGGATTGTATTGTGTGCTGGGAAAATATGTTATTCTCAATGGACACTCTGGATTAATATTTGATTGAGGAATCGGTGGGGTAGCCTAAGTGGGTTCGATTCCTTACATGGATACAATGTAGGAAACCTATTTCTAGGCAGTGATATTGCTGGACTATTGCTGAAACATAAATCTTTCACTCACTCTTGTTTTGTTTGTTTGTTTATTGTTTAACTTCTTGTGTGTCTGACACAGTTGATAGTCACAGACACAACTCTATTGCCGCATGTCTGACACAGTTGATAGTCACAGACACAACTCTATTGCCGGGTGTGTCTGACACAGTTGATAGTCACAGATACAACCCTATTGCCGAGTGTGCCTGCCACAGTTGATAGTCACAGACACAACCCTATTGCCGAGTGTGTCTGCCACAGTTGATCGTCACAGACACAACTCTATTGCCGAGTGTGTCTGCCACAGTTGATAGTCACAGACACAACTCTATTGCCGAGTGTGTCTGCCACAGTTGATAGTCACAGACACAACTCTATTGCCGCATGTCTGACACAGTTGATAGTCACAGACACAACTCTATTGACGAGTGTGTCTGCCACAGTTTATAGTCACAGACACAACCCTATTGCCGAGTGTGTCTGCCACAGTTGATAGTCACAGACACCACTCTATTGCCGAGTGTGTCTGCCACAGTTGATAGTCACAGACACAACCCTATTGCAGAGTGTGTCTGCCACAGTTGATAGTCACAGATACAACTCTATTGCCACATGTCTGACACAGTTGATAGTCACAGACACAACCCTATTGCCGAGTGTGTCTGCCACAGTTGATAGTCACAGACACAACTCTATTGCCGCATGTCTGACACAGTTGA